GAAACAAAAAAACACCCCAATTAAGAATCGAATTTAGAAACAAATTTTTTCTTGATCAAACAGGCCTATTGTCTTAAGATGGATGGAAGTTCTTGCTATCAGTAGACACTCTGGAGCTATGGGTTACATGATCAGAGGCGGCCCCAGGTAATTTTCAACAGTAAGCAAACAGTATTTTGGCACACACACACACACCCCCCAACCAATCATTGATATATATTTTCTGTTCATCGTGGGAATTCTGTGTGCCATATTTGGTTCAATTCCATCATTAGTGGAGTTCAGAATGCTCTTTGATTGTAGGTGAACTATACATCCCAATAACTACAACTTGCATATGTCAAGGTCTATTTTCCCCCAAGAGTGCCTCAAGAGCACCCCTGGGCAAAATCAACTATACTGCAAATGCTTACTTTGCGTAATGGGTTGAGCCGCCCCTGTACACGATGGTATACTAATAGCAGCCCTTTAGATAAAGGTGCTTAATGGAAGATTAAAGGTGTTGAAGTTAAAATATGCTATTGAAGCCGATGTAAAAGTGGATTTTTTTGACGCACATTGTGATGCTTGTATGATGCATGCATATTATTTTAAAGGGTATATAAACCAAGCCAATTCCTTTGTTCATCGCCCTGTTTTCTGGAATACCAGCAGGGTCCATATCTGGTTGGCGCCAACCAAGAATAAACTATGCTTTTACAGACCTCAGGAACTCTCTTTTGTCTCTTTTCCTCACACCTTCTCCCTGCCATTTCAACTGAACATCCAGTGTTGATGGGTTGAGTACAATTAAATGTACATTTAAAAAAAACTAAAGCAGGAAATCAAACATCAAGTGGCTGAGCAAAAATGTCACAATGTGAGAAAGATTGCGGCTTAATTGATTATAATTCATTGTTTTTCTGGCAATTGTTGTTGTTTTACTCTCAGTTCCTAGGGCATCAATGGGTGAAATGTTTTTGAATATTTACTGTAATTTATGATAAGACTGTCCAACTCTGATTAAACCATTATTCTAACCACCTTCAATGTAAATTTGCTTACGTATCCTTCCAATAATAATAAAGAGAGTAAAATAATAAATGTAATAATAACAACAACGTGTTAAAGGCTGTCTGAATAGGATCTGTGGTGCCATAGTTGATAATGCTTACTCATTTTGTGAGATATTGAGCAGAAACAAATAAATGAGATTTAAGCATATTATGGAAATGAAGATATCTATGTAAATGTCTGGAATGCACACTTCAATCCAATTACACCCCTCATGATACGGGCTTTTAGGCATGAAGCTGTATGCTCACGGCAATCTATAACACCGGGTTTATGATGTGATTTAAGTGTGTGGTTCAAATTGAAGAAGGAATTAGTTCCATCATGTGACGTTATTTTGATACCACTGAATGACACTTCAGGCTGAATATTCCTTATCTGACATGCTTTTTTTTCTTATTTTGGAATACCTATGTTTGCAGATATGTACATAAATAGATATCTTAGCTATCAACAGTTCTTACTGTTCATAGTGTACAGTAAGAGCTGTCTCTCTCTTTATAGTCTCACATCTCATTCATGGAGTTGTGGTGATGCAATGGGTTAAACCCTTGTGCTGTTCAACTGCTGGCCTGAAGGTTGGCTGAACTGCTGACATGAAGGCTGGCTGAACTGCTGACCTGAAGGTTGGCTAAACTGCTACCCTGAAGGTTGGCTGAACTGCTGACCTGAAGTTTAGCAGTTCAAATCCGAGAGATGGGTTGAGCTCCTTCTGTCAGCTCCAGCTCCTGCCAACCTTGCAGTTCAAAAACGTGCAAATGTGAGTAGATAAATAGGTACTACTTTGGCGGGAAAAGGCAAAGAAACACTCCAAGCAATCTTGCCGACCACACAACCAGGAGGTGACAATGCAGGTGACTCCTTGGCTTGAAAATGGAGAAAGCACCTCCCCAGAGCCAGGGATGAGCACTGCCTCCAGAAGCAGGAAATGAAAGGAGAAGCCTCTGCCTTTGTTGTGTGTCTCATTGTTTATGATTGTAAAGGCATTGAATGTTTGCCTATGTATAAAAATTCTGTAATCTGTTCTAACTCCCCTAGGGGAGAAAGGTAGAATATAAATAGAGTGTATTATTATTATTATTATTATTATTATTATTATTATTATTATTATTATTCACTACTTGTCTGTTGGATATGAGGCAGGAGAATGGCTGAAGATCTGAGAGGCTGGGAATATAAAGGACCTGACACCTGAATTTTGGTAGCAGCTTTTCTTGGCAGACAATGGGGGTGGAATTTGGGTGCTTTGGCTTCAAAGCTGGCAGGCTATGGCTTTTAAAGCCCAAACTTCATACCTGGTATTCCTTGACAAAACCAAAGGCACTACTGGAAAATTTCTCGTCACAGTAATTTGGGAAAGTTGAGACCGGCACTGAGACATGGACTCTGTACAGGGAGGAAAAGCGGAAAGCACATTCATTTAAATATTATAAGCCATGGGAAATACAAACCAACTTTAGGCAAATGGACTAGGGAAATCTTTGAATGCTATTTTCTTTGTTCTTTTACACCTCTTTGATTACAGTAATAACGTGGGAATGTTTACCCCATCGTTGCTTTTTCATAGGAGTGGATTTCATGAGGCCCTCAATATGTGGTTGGATTGCAATTCCCAGCAGCATGGGAATAGCCAGTGGGAAAGTATTCTGGGGAGATGTCGGGAGGACCAAATCATTCCCACCCCTGCTTCAGGCACATTAAACCACATTATTTTTCTAAGACAACTAAAAAAGCCTCTCCTTTCCCCCATCATTCTCACTCAGGCAGTCCCATATCTGGTTTGGGTTTCTTCAGGCCATTACTGGATTTCCTCCTGCAAACAAGACAAGAAAACAGAGTTCATAAATGGCTCAGTGTTTGTTAATGCCCTCACTATCAGACAGCTTAGAAACATTACTACAGGGGACAATAACTCCCATATGGTGGGACATGTAGTGCAAAAAAGTAAGCTTTCAAAGTTCAGCACTAGCCCAATGCAAAATGGGGTGCTGGAAATAATGAATACTAATAATGCTAAAATATTGCATTGATCCACATCCTGGGACAACACATTTTCTGCAACACATAACTCTGCCCTCCAACATTAGGGACCAGCGTGGACCCTACAACTACCTGCCTTGCTTTGGTAATAGGACTGAACCTGTGGGTTGAGCCTTGGTTGTTGAGGGTGGCCATGAAGGTGCTTCACTGAATCCAGTCTTATTCAGCATTCGATGGAGGTATCCAAGGGTTTGTTGTGTGACTTCAAGTCATGTATGACTTATGGTGACTGTAAGGTGACCCTTGGAGCCAATATGGTGTAATAGTTGGAGCAGTGGAGTCCACAGTTCAAATCCGTTTTTGTCCATGCAAACCCACTGGATGACCTTGAGCTCAGAGGAAAGCAATGGCTAACTCCATCTGAACAGCATTGTGTTCTTACGTTTTCCCTTCATCTATGGTAGGCATCCCAGAGGTTGTGAGAATGCCTGCCATAGGTTCAGGCAAAACACAAGAAGTGAATGCTTCTGGAACATGGCCATACAGCCCGGGAAACTCACAACAACCCAGTGATTCTGGCAATGAAAGCCTTCAACAATACATCCCTCTGAACAAATCTTACCAAGAAAACTCCATGATCAACTCACGTTAGGGTTGCCATAAGTCAGAAATGACTTGACAACACACAACAACAAGGCAAAAGTCTGAGGATGAAAATGTTTGAGTTGCTTAGGGTCATCCAGTGGGTTTACACAGCTGAGCAGGGATTTGAGCCAGGTCTCCAAAACTCAAATCATTACACGAGGATGTGTTTAATTCCATTCCCAAAATACGTTCTGCTCCTGGAATAGTGTCTTTAAAGTTTGGAACAAAGCCCAGAACATGCCTATCCCTTTCTAGCACTGACACAGAACCCACCCAATGCCACTCAGATTCAGATTACAGCCCTGGGTGCTCTCTTTTGGGTGGAAGAGACAATTCCATGGAAGGGAAGCTGGCACTAATGAGCTTGCTTACCTCCTGAAATAGAGCAGCAGCAAGCTGAGGATGACTAAGAGAAGCAGCACAGCAACAAGAGGTCCTACGATAATCCCTAAGGGCACAGAGGGGAAGGGTGGAGGATGTCAACAATATCTTGGAAGTGCGTGGGTGTGTGTAACGAGAATGTGTGCAATCTCCTCACTCTCCTCCAGTTACATGTGTGGATAATAGGCTTGTGCATTTCGGCTGAACCTCGATCCGTTTCTGCTAGCCAGATTTTGGTAGAACCCATATCCATTTTTGCGTGCTTCCTAAAAACAAGTGGGTAGCCAGATAGCCATTATCAGTCCGCAGCAGAAAAATGTGGCTATATCCAGCTCACTGGCAGCAATGGTGAACTTATGAGGCTCCCATTTCTGTTCCTGGAACCCTTTCCTTTCCTTTCAAGGGGGCCTGGGTTTTAGCAATGGGGTTAAGGAAGTACCCTTCCTGAGACTCTTTTCTTTTTTTTTTCCCCTTCAAGGGAGCCTGGGTTTCAGCAATGGGGTTAAGGAAGCAGACACTGCTTGCATAAGAACACATCATGGCGTTCTTCTACTCCGATTGGCCCAACAGGAAGGGCTCACAGGCACACGGCATCCTCGTGATGCCAAATAGGGGAGAAGGAGCCATGATCGGCCGCCACGTTGTCCCGTAACGGACGAAAAAATGTGACGGCTGGGCCGTTGCTGTTATGGCCATCTGAGCAAGCCGAACAAATCAGATTGACCAAAGGGAACCAACCACTCCGAATCCGTGCATAAGCCTAGTGCATAATACCACAAACCAATATGTCATCATCCCCTTTGTCATAATTGCTACCCAATTGAAATCAGAACCTAGTTTTAAAATGGCAGATAGGTTCAATAATAAATCCTTCATCCAAACAGGATCATAGCTTCCATCTTTTTCTAAAATCTCACTTTTCTGTCTTTTTTAATATTGAAAGCAACATGTTTGTGACTTGACTACACATGGAGTGGGAAACTGGTAGAAAGGGAGATGGTTAAAATCTAGCCTGGCTTCCCTCATACCATGATACCAAATTGGAAGGAGGGAACCCATGCTGAATGGCAACATAAGAAAAAGGCAAACTGAACCAGACCAAAGTCTGTTTTAGCTCAATATATTGTCTACTACATATTTTTATGATTTGGTTTACGTAAGTAATTTTGCAATTATTTTTTGTAAACTGCTTTGAGTCCCACCCCCCCCCCACCCCACCCCCAGGAGTGAGAAAAGCAATATATAAATACTGTAAAATAAATCAATAAATATGGATCTGATACCCATTAAAAATTTCCAAGGTGCCTCACCTATATTGTCAGTGAAGCAATCATCAAGATCGGACATTGCATACTGGTCATACCAATATGTTCTCACTTGGATCCGATATCTCCTGCCAGGTTGCAGGCGGTCAATCACTACTGATTTTGTACACGTTTCCCTTGTGGTCCAAATCTGATTCCACACGAGGATACGTAATTCACTGATGTTGTTTTGGGGGCATTTCCAGGACAACTTTAGTTTGTCACCTCCTGACAAAGCCCTGCACTGCAGGTCAGTTACTTTTTCTGGCTCTGTGCAGACAGAAAAACAGAGGATTGAGGGAGTTGTCTACACAATTAGAAAAGCTACATTTTCAATGCTAGCACTCAGAATCTGCATGTTCATAGAAGCATAGATTAACAGAGTTGGAAGAGACCACATGGGCCATCTAGTCCAACCCCCTGCCATGCAGTAAAAGCACAATCAAAGTAGTGTTTCTATTACCTTGCTTTTTCTCTTTAGTATATGAATTCATTTACTAAAGTAATTATAATTGAAGATGGGGGACTATCTTCAATTATAATTACTTTAGTAAATGAATTCATATATTCATACAAAATCAAAGCGAATCAGAATTACATCATGTGGAAACAAAGTGAGTAAAACAGAATCTACCCATGTATTGTCGAAGGCTTTCATGGCCAGAATCACTGGGTTGTTGTAGGTTTTTCCAGGTTATATGGCCATGTTCTAGAGGTATTTTCTCCTGACCTTTTGTCTGCATCTATGGCAAGCATCATCAGAGGTAGTGAGGTCTGTTGGAAGTAGGAAAATGGGTTTATATATCTTGTCCCACCCTGGTCATTCCACAGATATATAAACCCATTTTCCTACTTCCAACAGACCTCACTACCTCTGAGAATGCTTGCCATAGATGCAGGCAAAACGTCAGGAGAAAAAGCCTTTAGAACATGGCCATATAACCCGGAAAAACCTACAACAACCCAGAATCTACCTATCTCAGTTTGAAAATATAAAAAGTGCCTGTGCTAGCTTCATTATAACAACAAGACATTGCCTATATGCTTATTCGCATAACGTATCCAAAGAAACCCAAGTCTATACTACTTTTTCAACCACATTATTCCAGTACATAATAAATGAATGGATCTTCCCCTATGAACAATCTCAGAGATTAAGATTGTCCAGGGAGGCCCTGCTCTTGATCCCACCTTCCTCGCAAGTGTGACTGGTTGGGACAAGCAACAGGGCCTTCTCAGTGGTGGCTCCTTCACTGTGGAACTCCTTCTCCAATGACATTAGATCACTCCCCTCTCTCCTAGCCTTCAGAAGAAAAGTAAAAACTTGGCTTTGGGATCAGGCTTTCAGGGAATAGTGATGGACCCTCATTGGCCTGATAGGTGTCTTGTGTCCAAATTTGGTGTCAATTTGTTCAGTGGTTTTTGAGTTCTGTTAATCCCACAAACGAACATTACATTTTTATTTATATAGATAAATCAGAGAAATCTGCCAGCCAGAATGTCCATTGGAGACTTTGGGAATGGCAGTATTTAAGAAAAGAAACATTTCCAAGCATTGATGTCAAGTCCCCTCTCAAAACTTGCTCTCCACTGAACTTCCATTGCTCAAGCTAATGTTTCTTTCCATGAACCAGATCCTTGTTGGATCCTTATTCTTTTTATAATAAGACCCCACCCTCTCCCCTTTTCTCTGCCCTTTCTTTGTATAACCTGAAGATAAGTACTTGTGGCTTTCTGTAGCTGGACATCAGTGCTGAGCCGTGTCATGTTTCTCCCTTTCACCAAGCTGAAGAGGGTGAAGGTGTAGTTGGTGCTTGGAGTGAGCCCAGGCAAAACAGTTCCCTTGGAAGTTTGGAGAAGACAAATTCCATTTTTCTCAGAGTCACTCTTCCACTTCAGTTGGTACCCACTGAAAGGCGAACATGGAGCCACCCAGGTGAACATGGCCGCTGTCTGGTTAATGGTTTGGATGCTGAAATCAGTTGGTGGGGATGGGACTGAAAGAAAGGTATTAGAAGAAACAGATTAAGGTCTACAAGGTCTTCCAGAGAGTTTTATGGCTTAATGCAGAATTAAAACCCAGATCCCTTCTGCCTCAGTCCAGTATTGACCAACACACCATGGCACTGTTCACATTACAGAATAATAGTGCTATAGTTCCATTTTAACTCACATCCGTTGGAAAACAGATTTGATATACTAGCTTGCCTGGCTTTTAATGGTTCAAATGCTAATTGCCATTATTTAAATTACTTGCTTTAACTTATATATTTCATTGTTATTTATATTTACCTCTGTTTTATACAGGCACTGAATGTTTGCCTTTATTATGCGGGAAGCTGCCCTGAGTCCCCTCGGCAGGCTACAAATAAATTATTATTATTATTATTATTATTATTATTATTATTATTATTATTATTACGGAGCCCCCGATGGCGCAGTGGGTTAAACCCCTTTGCTGGCAGGACTGAAGACCAACAAGTCGCAGGTTCGAATCCGGGGAGAGGCAGATGAGCTCCCTCTATCAACTCCAGCTCCTCATGTGGGGACAAGAGAGAAGCCTCCCACAAGGATGATAAAAACATCAAATCATCCGGGCGTCCCCTGGGCAACGTCCTTGCAGACGGCCAATTCTCTCACACCAGAAGCGACTGCTCCTGACACAACAACAAAATTATTATTATTATTATTATTATTATTATTGATTTAATAAATAATAATAATCGTAACTACTAAAATAATCAAGACTCTGGAAAACAAACCCTATGAGGAGCGGCTTAAAGAGCTGGGCATGTTTATCCTGCAGAAGAGAAGGCTGAGAGGAGACATGATGAGGGCCATGAATAAAATGTGAGGGAAAGTCATAGGGAGGAGGGAGCAGGCTTGTTTTTTTGCTGCCCTGGACACTAGAATGTGGAATAATTGCTTCAAACAACAGGAAAAGTGATTCCACGTGAACATGAGGAAAAACTTCCTAACTGTGAGAGCCATTCAACAGTGGAACTCTCTGCCCTGCAGTGTGGTGGAGGCTCCTTCTTTGGAGGCTTTTAAATAGAGGCTGGATGGTCATCGGTAGAGGGTGCTTTGAATGAGATTTTCCTGCTTCTTGGCAGGGGATTGGACTGGATGACCCAAGCAGTCTCTTCCAACTCTATGATTCTATATGGCCACATCCTGTGGAATTCTGGGTTGTGTAGTTTAGGGAGAAGTGTTTAGAATTCTCAACCAAAAAACTCACCAAATTATAAATCCCCGAATTCCCTAGTATGCTGCTGGAGCATTTAAAAATGGTATTGTAGTGCTATAGTTGTGTAGTTTGGAAGTCTCCAGATCACATCTTTGGGTCTGCGCCCCCCCCCCCCCCCCAATTTATTACCAGTTTGTGACTGGTCCCAAATCCTTCTCGGCTCAGCTTCATGTCTGAACTGAAATATGAACATAGTGTCTACTTCTCCTAATTGGAAAATTTGAACGGCAGCATTACAAGCCACTTCTCCTAACAATTGCACTCACGTGTCAAAATCCATTTTGTAGTTTTCTCGCTCTTAAGATCATGAATCTCCGAAGTCACATTCACTGAGTAGAGGCGTCCTGGTAGGAGATTCTGGATGGTATAACTGAAGTCTGGAATGCAACAATTTTGCAGCGGCTCTTTCTCGTCTTCAGGCAACCAGCTCAAGCAGTATGTATAGCTTGCTTTTTGGTTTTCAGGAGGATTCCAGGAAAAGGAGAAACTGTTGTTGCCGTACTCAATCACACTTACATTTGGGCTGGTTGGAACTGGGAAAGAATTATGAGTGAAACAGAGTTTGAACATTTACTGTGTACAGATCATGTCCATTTGATTGTTAAGTTGCTGATAAAATATATAATAATAAATTACCCAAGTAAAAAAAGAAGCATAATTAGAGCCCTGGCAGACCGTGCAAAAAGAATTAGCGAACCTCACGTCCTCCAAGACGAACTGAACCACCTAAACTCGGCTTTACAGGCCAATGGAAACTCCACCACAGACACCAGAGGAGCTGCAAGACCGAAAATAAGCCACGAGAATAAAGACAAAGATCCACCCAGAGGAAAAGTGTTCTTGCCGTACATTAAGGGAACCACTGACCGCATAGGGAAATTGATGAGGAAACACAACATGCAAACAATCTACAGACCCACAAAGAAAATTCAACAAACGCTATGTTCAGCAAAGGAGAAGAGGGATCCTCTCACCTCTGCAGGAATCTACCATATACCGTTCAGCTGTGGACAAGTCTACATAGGGACCACCAAATGCAGAATTGCCCAAACGTGAATCAAGGAACATGAAAGGCACTGCAGACTACTTCAGCCAGAGAAGTCAGCCATAGCAGAGCACCTGATGAACCAACCTGGACACAGTATATTATTTGAGGACACAGAAATGCTGGATCACTTCAACAACCACCATGTCAGACTACACAGAGAAGCCATTGAAATCCACAAGCATGTGGACAGTTTCTACAGAAAGGAGGAAACCATTAAAATGAACAAAATCTAGCTACTAGTATTTAAAAAAAAACTAAAATCATAACAGTAAATAAAGACAGGGGTGCTCCAGACAAGAAACAATCAGGGATAGCTAATCACCTCTCAACAAAGGCAGCAAAAAGCCACACCTTGAAAATGGCTGGCTATTAAATGCTAATCAAGCTGGCTAACTACAACATTCACACCTAGCTCCAACAGACAAGAGTTCTTTCTCCCACCATGGACATTCCACAGATATATAAACCCCATTTTTCTTGTTTCCAACAGACCTCTCAACCTCTGAGGATGCCTGCCACAGACGCAGGCAAAACGTCAGGAGAGAATGCTTCTGGAACATGGCCATACAGCCCGAAAAACTTACCTTTACCAAGTAAAAGATCGTATGGTCAAAACATAAGTGTTGGCATAAAATAAGAATTCAAGATTCAGCTGTATGCTGATGTGCTTCAGTGAGCCTAATAAACTTCACGTTGACAATAGCTGCTGTCTCCCCATGCCCTGTATGGTTTGCTGAGCTCTGTGTTATGCTAGAAATGATGAAACTGCAATATTATATGCCCACAACCCACAACCACAAGGGATGATGACATACAGTGCCAGATCCTAAGAATACCCTTGTAAACATCAAACTATCTTGCAATACATTCTGTGCTGGTAGCATAGACCTCAAATAAGTATTATCATGTATGCCAATGTTTCTCATGCCACGACCCCTAAATGCAGTTCCCCAACCATAAAATTATTTTCATTGCAACTTCATAACTGTAACTTTGCTACTGTTATGAATTGTAAATATCTGATATGCAGGATGTATTTTCATTCACTGCACCAAATTTGGCACAAATTGGAATACTGGTTGAGTTTGCAGGGGGAATTGATTTTGTTATTTGGGAGTTGTAGTTGCTAGGATTTGTAGTTCACCTACAATCAAAGAGCATTCTGAACTCCACCAATGATGGAACTGAACCAGACTTGGCACACACAACTCCCACGACCAACAGAAAATACTGGAAGAGTTTGGTGGGCAGTGTCCTTGAGTTTTGGAGTTGTAGTTCACCTACATCCAGAGAGCACTGTGGACTCACTCAATCATGGATCTGGACCAAACTTGGCACAAATACTCAATATGCCTTAATATGAACATTGATGAAAATAGACCTTGACATTTGGGAGTTGTAGTTGCTAGGATTTATTGTTCACCCACAATCAAAGAGCATTCTGAACCCCACCAATGATAGAATTGGGCCAAACTTCCCACACAGAACCCCCATGACGAACAGAAAATATTGTGTTTTCTGATGGTCCCTGGTGACCTCTTTGACATCCCTTTGCAACCCCCCCCCCCCCCCCCCCCCCGGGATCCCAACCCCCAGGTTGAGAAACTCTGACTTAGAGGGCTGTGTGCCAGCACTGGCCATGGCAAAAGGCCAACCTGGCCCTTTATGTACATTATATCCAGTCTGTCATATTGAGCATAGACTTTGGGGACTTCTTTTGGGGGACTGGAACTCCCAGAATTTCCCAGTTAGCAGTGCCATGGGAGTTAGAGTCCCAAAAAAAGGAACCAGACAACAGTCAAAGACTTTAATGCACAAGTATGGATGTTGCCAGTGGGAAAGACTGACTTTCTGATCACCTCCTCCCCATATCTCTGTCACACAGCACTAACTGCACCTTACCTGTGGTGGCATTTATGTGCTTCCTAGGACTAGGGAGGTTACTCTTGGTGACAGCATAGATCACAATACTGTAGGTAACTCCTGCCTGCAGATGTTCCGCAATGTATGGGCTTTCGGAGACAACCGTGCAGTTGAGGATGCAAACTGTGTAGTTGTAGGTATTAGCTTGACAGTCTCTAGGTGGGGTCCATCCAATTGTCAGAGAATCCGTGGTGCAGTTCTTTATTGTGATGTTTACGACAGGTGAAGGTACTTGAGTCAAAGGAAAAAACCAAAATGTCAAGGAGCAGATCTACAAGCAGCTGCTGATTTAGAATTGCACGTGTGGTGACAAAATGTGGGTGAGTTGTTCTAGCCAGCAGCAGCTGGAGTCTCCAAAGTCAATGGGATAGTGAATCCACTGTGGGTTTTAGTCTAAACTTTAAAGCTGTTGTAAAGATGCTAAACTGTACAGTGGGGGCTTTTTATCAACAGATTCAACCATCCATAGCTTGATTATTTTAAAATTCCAAAAGCAACCTTGCCATTTTAAACAAGGAGCACAATTTTATATGCTGTTCTATATAATGGGACTTGAGCATCAATGGATTTTTGGTATCCACATGAAGCCCTGGAATGCTATCCCAGCAGACATCAAGGGTTTACTGTATGCCCCAAAATATTGTATTGTCAGGAACATGGACTGTGCTTTTAAGATCCAAATAAAACAAAGAGACAATTTGCACAAACAAACAACCAGAGAAGTCAGCCATAGCAAAGCACCTGATGAACCAACCTGGACACAGCATATTATTTGAGAACACAGAAATGCTGGACCATTCTAACAACCACCATATCAGACTACACAGAGAAGCCACTGACCTCCACAAGCATGTGGACAATTTCAACAGAAAGGAGGAAACCATGAAAATGAACAAAATCTGACTACCAGTATTAAAAAAAACTCTAAAATCAGGACAGTAAATAAAGAAAAACACTAAAAAAAACAGGGGAATTCCAGACAGGAAACAATCAGGGCCAGCTAACACCACCCAACAAATAATTCCCCAAGGCAGCAACCAGCCAGGCTTTGAAGCTGCAAGGCTATTCAATGCTCAGGAGAGAATACTTCTGGAGCATGACCAAAAACCATGAAAATTTAAAAAATCTGGCTACTGGTATTAAAAAAAACTCTAGAATCAGGACAGTAAATCAAGAACAACACTCAGTAAACAGGAGAATTCCAGACAGGAAACAATCAGGGCCAGCTAGCACCTCCCAACAAAAAATTCCCCAGGCAGCAACCAGGCAGGCTTTGAAGCTGCAAGGCCATTATATGCTAATCAAGGTGGCCAATTGAAACATTAACACCTACCTCCAACAGACAAGAGTTCTTTCTCCCAAACTGGATATTCCACAGATAGATAAACCCCACTTGCCTAGTTTCCAACAGATCTCACAACTTCTGAGGATGCCTACCATTGATGTGGGCGAAACGTTAGGAGATAATGCTTCTGGAACATGGCCATACAGCCCAGAAAACTCACAGCAACTATGAATTGACAATGGTTCTAGCTACCTAAGGTGTATCTACTCTGTAGAATTAATACAGATCCCTATTTTAACTGCGTGGCTCAACGCTATGGAAACCTGCAATTTGTAGTTTGGCGAAGAACTAGCATTCTATGGCAGAAAAGGCTAAAAATCTTGAACGGCAACTCCTAAGATTCCATAGCATTGCGTCATAACAGTTTAAGTGTCAAGCTACATTAATTCTGCAGTGTAGATGCAGCTTAAGATGACAGCCTTTTTGCATTTCAGGACAGCGTACAAATACTGTTTAAAAATCACATTCCATTTTTGTGATAATTTTATGGTTGAGTTACTCTGCCATTTACATAGAATATTATAGAGGAAAGAAACAGATTCAGATGTTGTTGTGTTTCTTTTTTCAATTGTCTGGTGTTCTCCGAACTAATGTAAGCCTCCTGAATCAATACAAATTTGTTAAGTCCACACTTGGGTCCTCTAATTGGAACAAAATTTGGTTGCAGGATATTCTGGCCCGACTAACTGGAACAACATTTGGTTTCAGGCTATTCTGGCTTGGCTGATTGGGAGGGCTTGGAGTCCTTCATCTGGAAGCAAGCAGAAAGCACACGTGGTGACTCATTTCTGTTTTTCCCCAGTTTACAAACGGCCAAGGCTGTCATGGGAAAGCATAGGAAGGCTCCTGGCTTGGCAGTGGCTAGAAATGGTGGCCATTCGCCCCAAAACAAATGGGGGGACTTGGGAGGACCGCCCCACCCCACCTGTTAACATTCTTACATGTATATGCAAGTGAGGAAGAATGTGGTGGAGTGGTTGGAATATTGGATTATGAGTCTGGAGACCATCATGGGAGTTGTAGTTTGGTGGGGGCACTCTTTGGTAGGGGCCTTGTAAAACTACAACTCCCATGTTGCCATAGTATTGAGTCATGACAGCTAAAGTTGTGCCAAATTGCATTCATTCTACAGTATAGATCAGGCAAGGGGCAACTTTGGCCCTCCAGGTGTTTTGGACTTCAAGTCCCACAATTCCTGGCCTCAGGCCCCTTCCTTTCCCCCCTCAGTCGCTTAAGCATCTTGAATTGGGACTGGAAACTTATTGGAAGCCAGTGGAGCTGTTTAAACAGGAGGGTTGATCGCTCTCTGTAACCAGCTCCCATGAGTAGCCTGGATGCTGATCCTTGAACCAACTGTAGTTTCTGAGCCGTCTTCAAGGGCAACCCCACATAGAGCACATTGCAGTAATCCAACCTAAAGGTGGCTAGGGCATGGACCACCATGCCCAGATCAGATTTCACGAGGTATGGGCACAGCTGGCGCACGAGTTTTAACTGTGCAAAGGCCCTCCCAGCCACCGGCGACACGGGAGCATCAAGTGTCAAAGCGGAGTCCAGAAGGACCCCCAAGCTGTGGACCTGTGTCCTCAGAAGGTGTGCGACCCCATCGAGCACATGTAGGCACCCTATGCCCCAATCAGTCCCGCAACTGGCCAGGAGGACCTCTGTTTTGTCAGGATTAAGCTTCAGTTTGTTAGCCCTCATCCAGCCCATCACAGCCGCCAGGCACTGGTCAAGGGCTTGAGGGGCTTCCTTGGAGTCTGGTGGAAAAGAGTAAGAGTTGAGTGTCATCTGCATAGAGATGGCACCGAACTCCAAAACTCCAGATGATCTCGCCCAGCGGTTTCATGTAGATATTGAATAGCATGGGGGAAAGAATGGAACCTTGCAAGGCCCCACAGGTCAATGGCCAGAGGTTCGAGCAGGTATCCCCCAACTTCACCGACTGAGTACGGCCCTCAAGAAAGGAACGGAGCCACTGAAGTGCAGTGCCCCTGAGACCCATTCCCGAGAGGCGACCCAGAAGGATACCATGGTTAATGAAAGGGCCTGAGGCCAGGAATTGTGGGAGTTAAAGTCCAAAACACCTGGCCCATGCCTGGTATAGATGCACTGGAGACTCACTTGTGGTCACGTTGATGGAGGTGCCTTGGCTAACTCTTCCATCTAGGGTTCTGTACACAGTTATGGTATAATCTTCCCCAGGTAACAGCCTTGAGATCTCCGTTGTACCATTCCTGCAGTTGTCATCAGCCACTGATGTATGGTTGATGGCAGGGGATGTGGAGCAGCAGTCTACTGCAATTTGCCAGTGAAGAATGATGGAACTATTGGTCTGGATGCCTAAGGTCAAATTCTTCACGGGGCTTGGACCTGCGCAGAAAAAGTACAGCAAAGTCAGAAACACAGGTAGCACTGTGTCTCCATGAGAACTCTAGTTCAAGCATGGGCAAACTTCGGCCCTCCAGGTGTTTTGCACTTCAACTCCCACAATTCCTAATAGCTGGTAGGCTGTTAGGAATTGTGGGAGTTGAAGTTCAAAACACATGGAGGGGAGTTTAAGTCCAAAATACCTGGGAGGTCCTAGTTTGCCCATGCCTGCTCTTGTTCCAACCTCAACAGAACCAACATGCTGGTGAATAACCAGAAACTACAGCTGAAACTAAATAGTCCAAAGTCTTAAATCAAATAGCTACAACATCCTAAGACATAACCATGCTAACAGGGAAATTATTGAGTCACAGTCCCAAAAGAGGGATAGAACTATTTTTTTTCTGGCTCTGTCCTCTCTGGCCCTTTCTACACTGTCATATAATCTAAAAACAAAGCAGATAAGCCACATTATCTGCTTTGAATTAGATTATATGAGTCTACACTGCCATATAATCCAGTTCAAAGCAGATAATCTGAATTTTATATGACAGTATAGAAGGGGCCTCCATCATTGCTAAAAATGATGTGGTTTTGGATTCTGGAGCTGCCACATTTAGTTATTTCCTCACTGTTCTCACTATAGTAGGTAAAGGTTTCCCCTTGACATTGAGTCCAGTCGAGTCTGACTCTGGGGGTCGGTGCTCATCTCCATTTTTAAGCCGAAGAGCAGGTGTTGTCCATAGACACCTCCAAGGTCATTTGGCCAGCATGACTGCATGGAGCGCTGTTACCTTCCTGACAGAGCAATACATATTGATGTACTCATATTTGCATGTTTTTGAACTGCTAGGTTGGCAGAAGCTGGGGCTAACAGTGGGAGCTCAGCACACACCACGGATTAGAACTGGGAATCTTTTGGTCAACAACTTCAGCAGCTCAGCAGTTTAACCCACTGTGCCACTGGGGGTACTATACAGGATCCAAAACAGCTTAAAACCAGGATACAGTTTATATCTATATATACATATTCATGTACATATACATATAGATATACATACATATACATTCAGACGCACATATCAAAATAATGATACAAATTTGAAAAAAAATTACAATTCAGTTGAAACATAAGAAGCACAGCCCTATTAAAAGCCTTTACACTGTTCAATTGAAATTGAAATTTAGAGTTTGAATTGCCTGCCAAGGTCTGGCTGAATAAACAATCAACACATTTTTGCTAACAAAATGTAAATGAATTGACCTAACCGGCTTCACTGCTCCATTAAAATGGAAAATGGCACATTATTAACAGAGACAAGAGATGGGGGTCTATAGAAAGGCAATTCCCAGCACAATATTCAAATTGTTCAGACAATCTATTATTTGTTTGTTTTATTTTATTTATAATCTGTTTTTCTCCAGGATTAGGACCAAAAGCGGCTCACAAAAGAATTCTAAAATACAATTAAAATCATCGCACTTAAATAACATGTTAAAAACATGATAAAATCATTTAAAAGCATATGTAAGTTAAAGTATAAATCTATCTCAGTCACTGCCAGAAGCGGTAGAGTTTCATCTATGCTGACGATCATGCCATCACCGCTCAAGCTTTGAAATAGTTGAACAGAAGCTCTCCAAAGCTTTAGGTGCTCTTACAGCCTATTTCAGGGAAAATCAGCGGATCCCTGAACCATCTAAAACACAGACATGCGCTTTTTAATCTTAAGAACAGACAAGCATCCCGAGCTCTGAGGATTACCTGGGAAGGAATCCCAATGGATCATTGCAGTGCACCCAAATACCTGGGTGTCACTCTGGACTGTGCTCTGACTTATAAGATGCACTGCTTGAATATCAAGAAAAAAGTGGGTGCTAGCAATAATATCTCATGCCCAGCCTCAAAATTCAGAAATGAAAACATTCAGATTTGTTTAAAAGGAGCAAAATGTATTCTATTTCCACAACTTGTAAAAACTTGTTTCCCCCTTGGCTTTTATTATAGTTCCTAGCCTTTGCTTTGACTTACTTGTGCATATGGAGACGGTGCAGTTAGGCAGTAGAGGAAAGGCTGTGTTCACACACACTTGGGATTGGTTTTCATGGCAAAGATCTGTGGTATTAATGCAGCCCACCTCCTGTGCCTCTGTATCCCATTGGCACTGAAGTTTCGTGGCATTGACATCAACGGATGGAGAGCACAGCGCAACAGTAATGTTTTCCGTGACTTCGCTAGAGTCTTTGCAGCAATCTGTGAAGGCAGTGAAATGAAGATGGACACAACAGCAGTTGACATCTTCCAAACTCCTTGGATCAGATCTCCCATCATTCCCAGACTCTAGCTGTGTTGCCTGGACATAATAGGAGATGTAGTCCAACATATCTGGAGGATACTGGATTCAGATATCAGTCATGCTTGGCAATGGGCAAGCTTCTCCACCTGTTCATTGTCTGAACTTGAAAGGATCTAACTAAGGTCCCTTCTACACTGTCATGTAATAATAATAATAATCATCATCATCATCATCACAAGCCAGAAAAAGTTACACAGAATGAACATGCCAAACTCCTCTGGGACTTCCAGATTCATACAGATAGAGTTTTGGAGCATAATACTCCTGACCTCACAATCGTGTTAAAAAACGAAGTACAGATCGCTGATGTCGCAATCCCAGGTGACAGCAGAATTGCAGAGAAACAGCTGGAAAAGCTGACCTGATATGAGGATTTAAAGATCGAACTGCAAAGACTCTGGCACAAGCCAGTCAAGGTGGTCCCAGTGGTGATCGGCACACTGGGTGCTGTGCCTAAAGACCTTGGCCTGCACTTAAACACAATCGGCGCTGACAAAATTACCATCTGCCAGCAGCATAAGGCCACCCTACTGGGATCTGCACACATTATTCGCTGATACATCACACAGTCCTAGACACTTGGGAAGTGTCCGATGTGTGATCCAATTCAACAGCCAGCAGAGTGTCTGCTGTGGACTCATCTTGTTGTGTTTCAAATAATAATAATAATAATATACTTTATTTATACTCCACTCTATCTCCCCGAGGGGACTCGGGGTGGATTACAGAACACATATACAGCAAACATGCAATGCCATTATACAATTAGCAAGGACAGATAATACATAAACAGACGTAAAGGCTTTTCCCATTATTCACCATTTCTGGCATCTGGAGGCTGTGCTTGACTTTGGCCATGGTGGGGTGCTTCATCTTCCATGCTGAGGAGGTTTTTGTCATCCATAAACATCATCTTGATCAAATAGCCAGCAACTACTTTTGGGCGCCTTTTATTACCTTCCTGCTTAAAGCCGTACCTATTTATCCACTCACATTTCTGTTTTTGATCTTCTAGGTAAGCAGAAGCTGGGGCTGACGGTTGACACTCACCTCGATCTGGGCTTGAACTGCCAACCTTTCAATAGGCAAGAATTTTTGCAGCTTAGCGGTTTAACCTGCTATGCTAAGCCTGGCCCCACATTATCTGCTTTGAAATGGATTATATGAGTCCACACTGCCTTATAATCCAGTTCAAAACAGATAATCTAGATTGTATATGGCAGTGTAAAGGGAGCCTAAATCCTGAACCAATTTTAGATATATGACCTGGGATTTTGGATTTGCCTATTACAATTTGGACTCAAACTGTGTATAGATCCACTGTAGTAAAGACTTTCTGTATATATTTCAGATTTCAATATTAATGTCAAAAATACGTAGCATGATTTTACATAGGATTTGTGCTACATTAGGACAGTAAAGACACCTATCACTTAAGTAAAATAAACATTAGGCCCCTTCCACACAGCCCTATATCCCAGAATACCAAAGCAGAAAATCCCACAATATCTGCTTTGAACTGGGTTATCTGAGTCCACACTGCTATATATTTCAGTTCAAAGCAGATAATATGGGATTTTATTTAGCTGTGTGGAAAGGGCCTAGAAGCCATCGTTGGCCATTATGTTAGTCAAAGATGGGATAGGAGTCAGGCAGCAAAGTTGGCAATGTTGTTACTTTGTTAGAAAAGTTAATGACAGTAAAGAGCACAGTTTGAAGAAAGATTTTTACAGATGCTCAACATGCATCTACCCTGTAGTATTATTGCAGTTTGATACCACTTTAACTGCCATTGCTTAATGCAATTGAAATATGTGAGCTGTAGTTCTATGGGTTCTTCAGCCTTCTCTACCAAAGTAAGCCGATGTGTCGCCATATAACACTTCCTAGGATTCCATAGCATTGAAACATGACAGTTAAAGTAGTATCAAACTGCATCAATTCTGCAGTGTAGATGCACCCTTCTTATTGACCTCAGGAGAAGGAAAGAGACACCTGTAGTTCCTATCAGGGCTGCAAATCCCCATAGTTTTACGCATCATTCTGCCCTCAGTCACACCAGCTTAATTTGGAATGGGATAAAAAATAAAAAGGAAATGTCAGTTACCCACTTGAGCTGATATTTACTCACCAGGAGTTGTCATAGGAGGAACTGTAGTTCTGGTTGAATTCGTTTTGCCTGTCAGAAGTGAGGGATGGGGGAGAACTGAAAGTAAAGAGGCAGAGTAAAGTGTTGAATTATTCACGTGTGCATTTATGTACAGTGTGGAATCTCATTGTGTATATGTACACAGCATGAGAACATATAACAATTGTGCATTGCTATTTGTAATACGCAGCATCTGAGCTTGAAAAGGTTATTTTTTGGACTTCCACTCCTCAAATCTCTGAGATAATGGGAATAATTGTCCAAAAAGGTGTTTTTTCCTGACAAACGTACACATACACACAGACATCCCTCAAGAAAACCATAGACATGGAAGCATATAATGGTGAACTGCAATTCTGTAATTTTGAACTCAACCTTTGTCAAAGTGAACAGTGTTGTTGTTCAGCCATATTCTGAAGATGACGGGATTGTTCACTCAGGGGTTGTGAGGAATAATGGGTTTTCCAGTGTGGGAAATAAGGGGATTTTGTATCATGATTCTGTCTGGGGGTTGAGTCTGTGTCTGCTCAGAAAGGAACAGCTCTAGAGCAGGGATGAGATGGAGATGCTTGGGCATCAGAAGATAGGGAAGAACTTTCCCCTGGTTGTTCCTTGGCAACAGAAGAAAAGGAGCTGGAAGGAAAAGATCCACACCTTAGGTCAGTAGGAGTATGGGACTCAATCTCTGAGAGGAGGGAATCAGATTACGGAGGTCACAGAGACTCAGTGAGAAATCCTTGAACAGACCAGATGTCAAAGGCATGACTTCGTGGCTTGTGGACCTTAAATTAAAGTGTTGTTTACTGAAAGGGTTAGAGCAGGCAACACTGCGTTACTGTGTACACCTTGGATCTTCTTGTTGTTCCACGTTCAAGTCTATGTCTAAGATCTTTGGGAAAGTCTTGTGCTCGTGTTCATAAATTCATGTTTTGGAATAAATTCCTGTGTTCCGGGTTATGGATTTATGTCTATGTTTTGATTCCTGAAATGGATTATATGAGTCCACACTGCCATATAATCCAGTTCAAATACCTTGTCACTTTTGAACAGAACTTTGATGTTTGAACTATTGCCTTTTGAAAGCTTTTTGGACATTGCTTTTACATCGCCTTTTACCTTTTGCCTTTTTATATTTGCTTGCTTCAATAAACTGTTTACTTAGTACTACTGGACTCTTGTGTGTTGCTGGGTGCAAAGGTGAATTCAGGCAAGTGTGCAACAGATGGTTTATCCAATGCCTGTGAACAGCCCTGTTCTAGGTAAAGGTTTTCCCCTAACATTAAGTTCAGTCGCGTCCGACTCTGGGGGTTGGTGCTCATCTCCATTTCTAAGCCGAAGAGCCAGCATTATCCATAGACACCTCCAAGTTCATGTGGCCAGCATCACTGCATGGAGCACTGTTACCTTCCTGCCGGAGTGGTACCTATTGATCTACTCACATTTACATGTTTTCGAACTGCTAGGTTGGCAGCCTTGTTCTACGAGGCCAAAAAGTTCATGAACTTGCTTTCAAGCAGAACTTCTACAAGTGGGACATACCGTAGCTGCAGAAAGCCTCGTAAAAGCAGTTTTCTAGACTTTCTAGCTTTCTGTCCAGGGGAGCATTTGCACAACTAAAACTTGTGCGCCAGTTGCACCCATACCTTGGGAAGTCTGACTTGGCCACGGTAGTCCACGCTCTGGTTACATCCCGGATTGATTACTGCAACGCGCTCTACGTGGGGTTGCCCTTGAAGACTGCCCGGAAGCTTCAGATGGTCCAGCGCTCGGCAGCCAGGTTGCTAACGGGAGCAGCACTCAGGGAGCATACCACTCCTCTGTTGAGCCAGCTCCACTGGCTGCCAATCCGCTACCGGGCACAATTCAAGGTGCTGGCTTTAGCCTATAAAGCCCTAAACGGTTCTGGTCCCACTTACCTCTCCGAACGCATCTCCACCTATGAACCGACTAGAACATTAAGATCGTCTGGGGAGGCCCTGCTCTCGGTCCCGCCTGCGTCACAGGCGCGCTTGGCGGGGACGAGAGACAGGGCCTTCTCAGTGGTGGCCCCTCGGCTATGGAATGCCTTACCGGCAGACATCAGAGAGGCATCTTCGTTGCTGGCGTTTCGGAGAAAGGTTAAGACCTGGCTTTATGAACAAGCATTTGGTTAAGCAGTGCAACCAATCAAAGGAAGACGGTAAATGGAACATAGGAATGGCACAAGGATTATGAGAACGGATCTGATTTCAATTGTGGTGTTATGTTTTGTTTTGTTGACTTGTCTTGTTTTGATTGTTAATTGTTGTGGATTGATGCTGTTGATCCTGTTTGTTGCATTGTTATGTTTTAATTGCACTGACATTGTTTGATAATTTGTACCATGTAAACCGCATTGAATCGCCTGTTTGGGCTGAAAAATGCGGTATAGAAATAAAGCAAATAAATAAATAAATAAATAAGTTCAATACAAACATTTCTCCCCATTTCTGCATATCTATCTTAGAGAAACTGAAGCTGTTGACATTGTTTGCTGGGTCCTTGCTAAAATGATAATTTCTCTCTTGGGAATAATTAAACATGCATACAAATACAGAACAAAAAGGAATAATCTCTTCATTTAGAATCAACTCACCATCATGTTGTCCAGGCAGAGGGAGCAACAGGAGAACCTGGCAAAGAAAAGGCGGGATGTGAAAGATTGTGGTTTCCAATTTGAGAGTTTTCTGGAGGAAAAAGCCCTGTTAATAGACGATTCATAACCTCCTGATGTCCTGATCTGGCATGGTCATGGTCATTCCTGATTAATCCTCTGTCATTTGTTTTTAAAATGTCTTAATTTTCTTCTCCAATTCCTACTTATGTCCTAGGTCTACTTCATTTGCTGCAAAAAGTAGTTGTACTCAATTCAGTGTTGGGGAGAGGAAGGAATAGGCAGAATCTTGTTTTGTTTATTTAGTTTGTCAACTAAATACAGTGTTTTAAAAGTACAATGCATTTTACTAACATTCTTAAGATAAAAGCTTAAATCCTTAAAAAGTTAGACTATGACCCTACTCCATTTATTCTGCCACGGTATACTAAATTCCAAAAGTCTTCCTTTTGTAGAAAGACAGCAAGGAAGAAGCCAACTGGAAGGGAGTCCCATAACTCAAGAGTCACTACTTAGGCCCCTTCTACACTGCCCTATATCCCAGGATTTAATCCCAGATTATCTGCTTATCCCAGGTTATATGGCTGTGGAGAGTCATATAGTCCAGTTCATAGAATCATAGATTTGGGAGAGACCTCGTGGGCCACCCAATCCAACCCCCTGCCAAGAAGCAGGAAAATCTCATTCAAAGCACCCCGACAGATGGCCATCCAGCCTCTGTTTAAAAGCCTCCAAAGAAGGAGCCCCCACCACACTCAGGGGCAGAGAGTTCCACTACTGAACAGCTCTCACCTCCTAACGTTCCTTCCTAATGTTCAGGTGGAATCTCCTTTCCTGTAATTTGAAGCCACTATTCCACATCCTAATCTCCAGGTTGCAGAAAACAAGTTGCTCCCTCCTCCCTATGACTTCCCCTCACACATTTATACATGGCTTTCATGTCTCCTCTCAGACTTCTCTTCTGCAGGCTAAGCATGCCCAACTCTTTAAGCCGCTCTCATAGGATTTTTTCTCCACATCCTTGATCATTTTAGTTGCCCCTTCTCTGGACACATTCCAGCTTGTCAATATCTGACCAGAACTGGACACAGTGTGATTCCAGGTGTGGTCTGACCAAGGCAGTAAATAGGGGTAGCACGACTTCCCTGGATCTAGACACTACACTCCTTGCAGGCCAAAATCCCATTGGCTTTTTTTAGCTGCCACATGACACTGTTGGCTCATGTTTTTCACACATACTGCTATCAAGCCAGGCATCATCCCGCATTCTACATCTTTGCATTTTATTTTTCTGCCTAAGAGGAGTATCTTGCATTTGTCTCTGTTGAACTTCATTTAGTTAGCTCAAAGCAAATAATCTGGAATCAGATCCTGGGGTATAGGGCAATGTAGATTCAGTCTTAGAAAGCTTTTTCTCATGTTCTCACCAGACATGCCTGGGGTGGGAAGAGAAAGCCTTCTTCTGCAAATCTTACAGCATGGGCAGACTTGTATCGGGAAACACAAATCCTGCTCTTCCCTGTAGGTTCAAGCCAAAGCAAACTTTGGCGTCTTCTCCTAGCTCGCGTGCTCTTTCTCATGAATACATTTTTGTTATCTTGTCCACACTCTGATGTTGCTTAACCGCAGCTTTTATATGTGAAATGTTGGAAGCTATGAAGTTCCCATTGCATTTGTATTTTACGTGAATGCCCTTTTGTTCTGCTGAGATGAGTGGCTCTGCTTCTGTGAGTCATTATTCATGCAAATAGGGTCAAGAGCTTCAGAATATGCAAAGCCCTATTCTTTAATACTGTGGCTTGGACTTTGGCTGGTTCCTCCAATGTTTTTCACTGTTCTGTTCCAGAGTTACTAAACACTGGCAGTGGCTACAATTTTTGATGTCTTTCTTTTCTTTGCCTTCTCAAAGAGTTGGGAGGCCCAGAGGTGCTAAAGATTCGTCCCAGAAAGAAGCGACAAGTAGAGTGCCGCAGGGTTTCATCCTGTTCAACGTTTTTATTAATGACTTAGATGAAGGGTTAGAAGGCATGATGAACAAGTTTGCAGACAACATCACATTGGAAGGGATTGCCAATACCCAAGAAGGCAGAAGCAGAATTCAAAACAATCTTAACAGATTAGATAGATGATTGGCCAAAACTAATAAAATGAAGTTCAATGGAGACAAATGCAAGACACTCCACTTAGGCAGAAAAAAATGAAATGCAAAGATGCAGAATGGTGAGGTGCCTGGCTCGATAGCAGTACGTGTGGAAAAGAACTTGTTGTCCTCATGGACAACAAGTTAAACATGAGCCAACAATGTCAAGCAGCAACTAAAAAAACCAATGGAATTTTGGCCTGCATAAAGAGGACTATAGTGTCCAGATCCAAGGATGTCCTGCTACCCCTCTATTCTGCCTTGGTCAGACCACACCTGGAATCACACTGTGTCCAATTCTGGGCACCGCAATGGAAGGGAAATGTTGACAAGCTGGAATGTGTCCAGAGGAGGGCGACTAAAATGGTCAAGGGTCTGGAGAACAAGCCCTATGAGGAGCGACTTAAAGAGCTGGACATGTTTAGCCTTCAGATGAGAGGGCTGAGAGGAGACATGATTGCCATGCATAAATATGTGAGGTTGTTTTCTGCTGCCCTGGAGACTAGGACATGGAACAATGGCTTCAAACTACAGGAAAGGAGATACCACCTGAACATTAGGAAGAACTTCCTAAGTGTGAGAGCTGTTCAGCAGTGGAACTCTCTACCCTTTTCCGCCGTGGCCCCCAGACTCTGGAACTCACTGCCTGGAGAAATTAGGAAAACCCCTTCTCTAGAAGTTTTTAAGAAGAACCTTAAAACCTGGCTCTTCCACTGTACCTTTGATGAGTAGGTATACAATTTCACATGACTGTTTAGCTTAAAGTTCTGTCATTGGAGTAGATATCCCCCCCCCCCTTTATGGGAAAGCTTGACTCCACAACCCCAACCATAATGAGTACTACTCAGCATATTATCTGCTTCTCTCTTTTATCTTGTCTGAGTTTTTAATTAGTTTGTTTTTTAATCATTACATGTAGCCCGCCCATTGTCTCTGTGCCTGTGTCTATTGTAATTCTTATATTTTTATGTATTCATATAATTATGATGTTGTTTATTGTTTGCATTTTTGGTTGTGTTTTGGTTTTCTTATTGTAATTATTGTTCGGGCCTGGCTTCTCCGAGTCCCCATTGGGGAGATGGTGGTGGGGTATAAATAAAGATTATTATTATTATTATTATTATTATTATTATTATTATTATTATTATCTGTTGAGGGTGCTTTGAATGCGATTTTCCTGCTTCTTGGCATGAGATTGGACTGGATGGCCCACAAAATCTCTTCCAACTCTGTGATTCTATGATTCAAAATGATTCAAAATGAAAACCTTTGGCATGTCCATGTGAGTGTATGTGCAAGGACGTATATGAGGGAGTGAGAATTATTATTATTATTATTATTAGCAGTAGTAGTAGTAGTAGTAGTAGTATTCTTGCTGACCTGTACCATAGAAGGTTGTTTTTTAGACTACCTCCCTCTCTCTCTCTCTCTCTCTAATCTTGCTCACAATATAGGATTCATAACAGCTCATAACAGAAGTGAAACAAAATACAATTAAAGCAATGTATACGACAAACATTTAAAATAATTACATAAACAAATCATGTAAAAATGTAACCTAAAACCAGCCTTGGTAAACCAAAAGACGTTGGCCTGTCAGTGGATCAGAGAGATCATTACACTGTGCTTTCATGTTTTCTCTGTTTATAATGTATTTTGACTTTGTGTTTTAACATTTACTACTTTTGATTTTATTCTGTTTTTAATATTGTGCACTTTTGGAATAATTAATATATCCAGCAAATAATAGCTTATATTTCAAATAGCAAGGCAGTAATGATGTTTTTTGACTGTGCTGCTCTTAACATGCATTTTATTGTGTCGCCTAATGGTCTGTTGACTGTAATAAAATCTATTGTTGTTGTGATATCACACAAATAAGTTTTAAGCAGTACTTGTTTGATTTGGATGAAAGCCATCGTGGGCTCTGTAGAAAAAGGTGAGATGTAAACAAAAGAAAAGAAGCGAACTCCCCATTACTATGTAGTAGGAAGAGGATAGAGCTCATAGGAGGATCAGCCCAGCTCAGGCTTTGTTGCACTGTTTACTCTGGAATTACTGCTGCAACCTGACTTTGAAAAGTCTGTATTTCTCCATCCTTCCCATTACTATCATCCTGATACTGATGCTGCTAAAATTCCTTTTCATCTAGACAGAGGAGAAGGGGGAAAGGTCTCAAAAAATGCAAAAAGACTGTCTAAAAAAGAGGTTTATTGTCAGAGGTTTTATTAACTGAGGGTGCATTTACACCGATGGTTCCCAGTCTGTGGTCTGTGGACCACCAGTGGTCTGCAAGAACTAAAAGATGGTCCACAGCCTCACCATTACTACACCGTTGCAACAAGAGCAACTGGTCTCCCAAAACACTCTTATAGTGCTGAGACTTATTAAATATAGCAGTGGTTCTCAACCCTGCTAATGCTGTGTCCCCGTAATACAGTTCCTCATGTTGTGGTGCCCCCAACCATATCGTTATTTTTGTTCCTACTTCATAACTGTAATTTTGCTGCTGTTATGAATTGTAATGTAAATATCCGATATGCAGGATGCATTTTCATTCACTGGACCAAATTTATCACAAATACCCAATACGCCCAAATCTGAATACTGGTGGGGTTGGAAGATAATTGATTTTGTCATTTGGGAGTTGTAGTTGCTGTAATTTATAGTAAACCTACAATCAAAGAACATTCTAAACTCCACCAACAATGGAATTGAACCAAGCTTGGCACACAGGCCTCCCTTGACCAAGAGAATATATTGGAAAGGTTTGGTGGGCATTGACCTTGGGTTTTTGAGTTGTAGTTCACCTACATCCAGAGAGCACTGTGGACTCAAACAATGATGGATCCGGACAAAAGTCGGCACTGTTACTCAATATGCCCAAATGTGAACACTAGTGGAGTTTAGGGAAATAGACCTTAACATTTGGGAATTGTAGTTGCTGGGATTTATAGTTCACCTTCAATCAAAAAGCATTCTGAACCACACCAACCATAGAATTGGACCAAACATCCCACACAGAACCCCCCTGAACAACAGAAAATACTGTGTTTTCTGATGGTCTTTGGCACCCTGTCTGACACCCCCTCATGACCCTCCCCCCCAGGGATCCTGACCCCCAGGTTGAGAAACACTGAAGTATCATTTTCTGTAGGCAAGCAGATGGCAACTCCTGGATGGCAAATGCTCTGCGTCAGAAACTAGAGCCGATGTGGTCTATTCAATCCAATTTTCTGAATCAGCACCCCAAATAACTAAACCAAATCTAAAGATGACCAAAAACTGATTCGTAACTCTTGTGGTACTAATGTTGGAGAGTGGTCCCTTGTCAAAGTGGTCCCTGATCAAGTGGTTTCCTGGTCAAGTGGTCCCTGGTCAAAAAAAGATTGGGAACCATTGATCTACACTGTAGAATTGGTGCAGTTTGACCCCACTTTAACTTCCACAGCTGAAATCTGTAGGATCATAGATGTAGTTTTAGAAGGTTTTTAGCTTTCTCTACCAAAGAGGGCTCATGCCTCACCTACCAGAGACTGAATGGCCATCTGTCAGAAAGCTTTGATTGTATATTTCTGCATAATAGAATGGACTTAAGACTAAGTGGTTCTTGGGGTCTCTTCCAACTTTATAATTCCATGAGTCTATATACACAGACACACACCTGTAACCTGCTCTCCAGGTGTATTTGAGCATCTGCTGGGTTCACTGAATAGGAGCTGTTTCTGATAAACAAAATTAAATCCCAGAAGACAAGAGTGAAAGTTTACAGGAACAACACATATGTGTAATACATTCAGACACTGTAGAGCCATTTGGTCACACCCTTCGCCTGCTTCATCACAAACCCTCATAAACTCACATCCCAGGGAAGGAAGTGTAGATATGCAAAGAAGAGTCCAATATTTTGCCAGAAATATGGCAAATCTAGCTCTAAGTAAACAGAAAAACTTGGTTTTCTTAAAAGGCTAAAAAATCAAATATGTGCCATTTCAGCTTGGCATGAGCTATAACAGGCATGGGCAAACTTTGGCCCTCCGGGTGTTTTGGACTTCAACGCCACAATTCCTGACCTCAGACCCTTTCCCTTTCCCCCTCAGCTACTTGTTCCTACTTCATAATTGTAATTTTGCTACTATTATGAATCATAATGTAAATATCTGATATGCAGGGCATATTTTCATTCACTGGGCCAAATTTAGCATAAATATCCAATAGGCACAAATTTGAATACTGGTGGTGTTGAGAGGAGATTGATTTTGTCATTTGGGAGTTGTAGTTGCTGGGGTTTATAGTTAATCTACAATCAAAGAGCATTCTGAACTCCACCAACTATGGAATCGAACGAAACTTGGATGCAGAACTCCCATGACCAACAGAAAATACTGGAAAGTTTTGGTAGGCATTGACCTTGAATATTGGAGTTCTAGTTCACCTACATCTAGAGAGCACTGTGGACTCAAACTGATGGATCTGGACCAAACTTGGCACAAATACTCAATATGCCCAAACACTGGTGGAGTTTGAGGAAAATAGACCTTGACATTTGGGAGTTGCTGTTGTTGCTGAGCTTTATAGTTCACCTATAGTCAAAGAGATTTATAGTTTACCTATAGTCAAGGAGCTTAAGCAACTGAGCAGGAAAAGGAAAAGGCCTGAGGTCAGGAACTGTGGAAGTTGTAGTCCAAAACACCCGGAGGGCCAACATTTGCCCATGTCTGAGCAATAATAATAATAATAATAATAACAACAACAACAACAACACTTTAAGGCTTAAACTTGACAATAATACTTAATTACTAGGATTTATTTTCTGTCTAAAACTACAACTTGTCATTATTTTTACATAAATTCCACCAAGTCATCTATGCCAAATATAATTTGTCATCTTTTTTTATCCAACTGTCTCCCTTTAAATTATTTTTCTTTTGAATGATCTGAGTCTGGTAAGATTATTTTGATGTCCCTCTGTGTTACGAACAACTTAGGAATTCAGGAAAATGTTAACATGTCCTCATGAATATCTCCTTCTTTCCTGATGCCAACTGGCTTTGTCTTCCGGCCATATTTGTCATTGTTCCTACACAGTACAGCTTGTGGCTGATACAATAAAGCCAATCTTCCGTTTTGCTCCAAACTGTTTACTCATCCCAGGATGCCAGCTTCATTTTCCTCCTCTGCCAATTAACTGGAAGGGCTTACATTCTGGAGCCTTGTAGCTGTGGAATAGATGCTAACAAGTTCAGACAAAGGGAGCTAGAAATTGATTTTAGGGTGTATAATGAAGGAGGTGTGGATTTCTATTTCTTTGGAGAAGGATAGGTAGAATTAAAGCATGTCTTTCATGCCTTACTTTAATCAATATGTATGCAACTTCCGGGAAACTTTCTGTTGGATTTGCCAAAAAATGTTGCCCGGTTGCCTCTCAAACCTTTTATTGATTTCTCTCCAAAACTTTGGGGGCATAAAACCTCCCTTCGGGCCTTCAGAATGTCATATCTTCCAACATTTTAAACATGAAAACCAGGACATATGAGGGTGATACATGTCACCGTTTGGTCAAGGTGGCAATGTGACTCTGTGGTCAAGGTATCAATGGTTATTAATGAGGAAGAACTAGAACAGCGTTTCTCAACCTGGGGGTCAGGACCCCTGGGGGGGGTCGCAAGGGGGCGTCAGAGGGGGTTGCCAAAGACAATCAGAAAACACAGTATTTTCTGTTGGTCAGGAGGGTTCTGTGTGGCAGGTTTGGCCCAATTCTATCATTGCTGGGGTTCAGAATGCTCTTTGATTGTAGGTGAACTATAAATTCCAGGAACTACAACTCCCTGATGTCAAAGTCTATTTTCTCCAAACTCCACCAGTGTTCACATTTGGGCATACTGAGTATCCATGTCAAGTTTGGTCTACATCCATCATTGTTTGAGTCCACAGTGCTGTCTGGATGGAGGTGAACTACAACACCTAAACTCAAGGTTAATGCCCACCAAGCCCTTCCAGTATTTTCTGTTGGTTTTGGGAGTTCAGTACGCCAAATGTGGTTCAATTCCATCGTTGGTGGAGTTCTGAATGCTCTTTGATTGTAGGTGAACTATAAATCCCAGCAACTACAACTCCCAAATGACAAAATGCGGGTGTATTGGATATTTCTGCCAAATTTGGTCCAGTGAATGAAAATACATTCTGCATATCAGATACTGACATTACAATTCACAACAGAAGCAAAATTACAATTATGAAGTAGCAACAAAAATAATGTTATGGTTGGGGGTCACCACAACATGAGCAACTGTATTAAGGGGTTGCAGCATGAGGAACTAGAAGAAGCCCTGAACTAGAAGAAGCTGCAACAGTTTGCTTTTGGCTGAGCTGATTGGGAAGCGCAAGATTCTAGGCCATTCCACACAACCCTATATCCCAGAACATCAAGGCAGAAAATTCCACAATATCTGCTTTGAACTGGGTTATCTGAGTCTATACTCAGACAATTTGGGATTTTCTGAATTAATATTCTGGGATATAGGGCTGTGTGGAAGGGCCCTGAGTTAGTTGAATGGAAACTATTTTGGCAGTTTGAACTCAGGGCCCTTCCACATAACCATATAACCCAGAATATCAAGGCAGAAAATCCTACAATATCTGTTTTGAACTGAGGTATCAGAGTCCACATTGCCATATATTCCAGTTCAAAGCATAAAATGTGGGATTTTATTAATCTGTGTAGAAGGGGCCTCAGTCTGCAGCCTTGCTGAAGCTACAGGGTTGTTCCAGCATGTCGGCCAAACTACAGAGCATCTCCTGACTTCTTTTAATGTGGTCTAAACCAGGTTCATCTGCTTCACCCAAAGATAAGCACTGGAGTTTCAGGAATATTATTAAGACTGCTAAGAGTAACTGCACAATGTGTAGATTGGCCCTA